AACAAGGATGAGATGATCGCTGTGTCGCACAGTGTCGCTTGTTGGAAGCTCCCATGTTGGACCTACTAACCATACCTTATACCAATAATATTAAGCGCTTATTGGACTATAGACAATTAGCAGACGACTAAATCGAAATAGCCAATAGGAAGGCTGTCGGCATTTCGGCTCAGATCAAAGAAATGCGCTACTTTGATATATAGAGGTTTAACTTTGCCGACTTGAACGCGCCCAAAATGCCAGTGATAACGAAGGGAGAATGAAGAGGATAGTGTTTTCTTTTCTGATTGATTCCACCATTTTCAACTGAACTTAGGGCGCGTTCACACCTTGACGGAAAAACAGTAAGCGGAAAAGCAGTGGCCAATCAGAACTCGCGCTGGTAATTTGGCTTTTTATACTACTTACCAGTGTTGGAACAGATACCGTTTGAAAGGTATCTAGATATAGATATAGGTATTGTGTAGGAAAAGTATTTAGATATAAGTATAGATACATTTTTTTACAATTACTTAGGTATAGATACAGATATAAATAAAAAGTATCTGAAAATTTAGATATTTTTTAGGTACTTTCAATAAAAAAAGAAGGAAAAATGGGGGAAAACAAGAAAAATAGAAGTAATAAGCAACGTAAATTAAATATCATATTTTGTTTGTTTATTTTAACAAAACTCAAACAATAACATTAAAATCGGTTTCATTAATAGTTTTAAATAAATATTGAGTATTATTTAGTTTTACATGCATATACATATCTACAAAACTGATAAATCATAAAATTAATTCTACTCGTTATCAATTTCTTACCCTTGATTACATAAATTTTTAGTTTTAATGAACAGCTTTAACCATAAGAATATCGGTCTTTAATTAGTATATCAGCGCATAGGTACTAGTACTAGATTGTTAATTTCTGAGTTGATTTAGTATGCTTTTCAACAAGCGACACAGATGACACGGTATGAGGCACAGTGTATCATTACATCCTTGTTGTTCGTCAATGTTAAACAAGAATGAGATGATCACTGTGTTATACTGTGTCGCTTGTAGGAAGGCACTCTTAATGGCGGCGACAGTATTTGTGATAAATACCTTGTATCTATGTATCTAAAACTTAAAAGATACCGTATCAAAAAATAACTAGATACGGATATAGGTATCTCCGCCTATAAGGACCTAAGTAATGCACTTAGGTACAGTTAAAGTATTTAGATACTGTATCTAGATACTTTTACTTAGATACGTTCCAACACTGCTACTTACTATCAGCGTGAGTTCTGATTGGCCGCTGCTTTTTTGCTTTCTGCTTTTCCATCAAGATGTGAACGCGCCCTTATATTACAGACTTCTATATATTATACTAGACTGCTAATGCCCGTTTCTACCAATGTAGATCAACTTTAATCTCGGTTTAACTTACTCTTCATCCTTTTTTAATGCTTAGAACTAGAAAAAGATGAAGAGTTGATTAAAATTAAACTATATTGATAGAAACAGGCATTAAAATTCACTTTGACCAAATTCCGATTAACTGGGCCAGTTTCACCAATGTCAGTTAACTTAATCGGCCGTTGACTGACCAATCGCGTTTGATGTTTAGTAGAATTGACCAATTGCGGTTGACCATCATTAAGCTTAATCGATTTGGTGAAACTGGCCCACTTATGCCTGTTTCTACCAATGTAGATTAACTTTGATCTTTGAAGTTCAACTTAGGCCGAAATCAGACTACGCATTGAAGATTGAGGGCGCGTTCACACCTTGATGGAAAAGCAGTGGCCAATCGCAACTTACGCTGGTAGTAAGTAGTACAAAAAACCGAAATTGTCAACTACCAATGCGAGTTCTGATTGGCTGCTGCTTTTCCGCTTTCTGCTTTTCCGTCAAGGTGTGAACGCGCCTTGAGATTGAAGATTGAAAAATTCAAATTTGACGAATCGAAACGAAAAGAGCTAAAATTTTTTTTTTCTTTTTGTTCTTATTGGTAAAATTTCAATCTTCAATCTTCAACCTCGATCTTCAATGCGTAGTCTGATTCCGGCCTTATTCTTTATCTTTTTCTAATCTTTAAAACAAGAGAAAGATGTAGATTGAACCGAGATTAAAGTTAATCTACATTGGTGGAAACGGGCATTAATCGACTGATTAGTCCATTAAAATTGACCAATTGCATTTGTCATTTCGTTTGACGGCAGATGCGATTGGCCAATTCCAATGGACTAATTGCGTGCTAGAGGTTTGTTGGAAAGTTCCTACACATGCAAAGATACACTTTTGGCCCCCAACAACAATAGGTTTGTTCGCGTTGCATGCACTTTGTGCACTCAGCATCTTCGCTTTCTTTCCTTTCAACGTCCAAATATATATCTATCTCATTTTAAGTTCAAAAATTTTTGGAGATTTCAAGTAACGCGAACAGACCTATTGAGAATGATGGAGAATCTGCCTCTCTGCTTTTGCTCCACCAATTGACACCGCGTTCAACTAGTAGAGAACAGCGTTTGTCAATTGGTGGAGCATAAATAGAGGGGCACGTTTTCTCCCTATGATGGGGGCCATATATGCATCACTGCATACATATACATAATGTTCATAGTATATGCATATATATACGTATTTACAGCGTTGTAACGTATTGCGTTTTTCGTAATTCCGTGTTCGGTTTTGAATGCGATCTGCGATCACGGGACGTTACGTTGCAGAATTTGTTGTGCACTTCAATAAACTGATTCGGAGGCAAAACATAAATAATATAATATACACAATATAGTTTACGAATAAGATTACTTCGGAAGATCATTCGTTCAGTGGTGAGTTCACCTGACTTGCAATCACGATTCTCAATTATTCTAAAGGCAGAACGTAAGTCGCGTGTTTTTCGGATTAGATATAGATATATGTTTTTGAATGCCTAAAGATACATATATCTTTATATTTTTGCACCACTAGATACAAATAGCATCAATAGATGGTTTATTACGCAAGTGTAACCTTTGGTTAGGCTACTTGAATTCACAAACGGAGCATTTGATAAATCGACATGTGTTTGCAGATAACATGGAGGTGCCTGTGTTTAGTGATAAAGTCACACAACAGCTAAAATTGTTCGCTCAGCAATGCATGAGTGATGCGTCGCTTCTTCATGATCCAAAACTGTCTTGTATTAAAGATTTAATAGAACATTATGGTGGTAAGGTACCAGAAGCTAAAGCAAATGGTTCTTCAGATACCAAAACAGAATTTGAAAACAAACCTGAGCAACCGCAATTTGAGTCAGCACCAGAGAGTGAAGAGAGTGAAGAGAGCGACTTAGAATTGGATATGACTGGCGTAATCGGTTTGTCCTATATATTTATTTTTACAAATTATATATATATATTCTTGCATTGTTTTTTATAATAAATATATAATATAATATCCTTATCTTTCTTTTTTTAGAACCTGATGAAGATGCTCCTCAAAAAATGGGAAATTTGACTTTACAGCCCAGTGAGGAAGAAATTGCAGAGTCACAAGCAAAAAGATCTGAAGCAGTCTCAGCATTTGTGGAGAAAGATTATGAGAAAGCCATACAATTTTATACAGAGGCTATTGTACTGAATCCTCAAGCAGCCTTATTATATGCTAAACGTGGTCAAGTATTCCTAATATTGAACAAGCCGAATGCTTGTATTCGTGATTGCGACCGTGCTATGGAATTAAATCCAGATAGCGCAGCGGCTTACAAATTTAGAGGAAGAGCTTATCATTTGCTTGGAAAGTTCGAGGAAGCAGCAAACGATCTGAGATTAGCCTGTAAGCTGGATTTCGATGAGCAAGCAGACGAATGGCTACGTGAAACCACACCGAATGTAAGTATTACTTTATGTTTTGTATGAGAAATGCTGCACATTAGGTTACAATTCAATTTCTATTCTGTAACTAACTTCTTATAAAACCGAGGCGTATGGAATGAAGGTCGTGATTGAACCTTTTAATCGATCATTTACATAGAGCTATACGCTCTTCTAGAAGATAATAAGAATTAAGAAATAGTAGTTTTTTTTTATTTCTAAACATCATAATTGAGTTTAAAAAATTCTACAAAAAACTTACATCTTACAAGTTAAGAGAACAAAGTGAGTAGAATCAATTTTTACTAATATTTTTATTTGTTGTTCATTTGTTCCACTAACTTATAAGACGTAAAAAATTTTTTTTTAATTTTATAAGTCCATAAAATTCTTTAGAGAACGTGATGAGAACAATATTTTTCAAAGATACCAGAAGGTTTGCGGGTTATCACCGTGTTTTTTATCCATTGCTAATTCCAATGTTTCGTGAACCTTGCCATTTATTTTATCAGAGTGAGGAGCGCACTGATATACAGAGTGGCCCATATAAAGTGTTACTTTTATTTGTCTGAACATATTAGTCATTTGACTTACACTTTCAGAGATAATAGCTTGTAACGCTTTACATGAGTCACCCTGTATAGTATCAATATGTTAACTCTATATAACTAAAAAAATAGATAGTCTTCATAAAATACATATATCTGTAACATTAAATTTACTTGACATAATCTTTGTATAATGTAGAATAACAATGATGACAATAGCAGCAACACAATGGTCATAATAATAATATCAACAATACACTTATTCAAACGCTAAGTCGCGTTATATTTATACCATTATTTCATGTATATGAAAAAGCTTGCTTACCATTATTGTATTTATCTTGGTGTCGTTTGATTAGGATCATGATATTAATATAATCCAATTACACACTCTCTCTCTCTCTCTCTCTCTCTCTCACTCACTCACTCACTCACTCACTCAAAAGTTGGTTCAAAATTAATGAAATATATTTGAGACAGGTAGCAACAAAAATGATTTAAAGATATAAAAAGATTATTTAAAAATCCAATTTTACATTGAATTTTGTGACCTAAGAGTCACTAGAAAAAAATTTAATAATCGAAGGCTTAAAAGAATTAATTTAAAATTTGTGACTCTGAAAAATTAGGCAATTAAGTATTTGGAAAAAACTTAATTTTAATATCTAAAATTTAAAAAAATTCCGTGTTTAAAGATATAAGGAACTTTATTCTATCTAACGCGCGAATTAGAAGGAAGCCTAAATTTTTGATCAAAAACAAACATCACCATTCGTCTCACGCATTAACTGAGCAATGCGTGAGAGATCAGCATATCTTTAATGAATTTAATTACACATTTTAATAAGAACACAAAATCAGCTTATACGAGGTATTCCACAAAAGCCATAAGAAGAGATCATCTTATCTCTTTTTCGCAATGGAAATATTTCGGTATTAGTTTAATTTCCCCGGTACAGAGGAATTTGACGGACGAGATTGTTGCTCAACATTACATCGATTCTGGAGAGTCTTTGTTTTTTTTTCTTGTTTAGATAATCGGCAAACGCCGATTTGTCGCGAAAATTTAAGTATTAGGTGCAACAGTAGTTTGGTTTACATTTTCAAGAACTTTAGGAAATTAATCTTAAAATTAGAACAACAATTAATAATAAGATAATTAGATGAAACTTATGAAAAATTATGAAACATAATTATCTAAAATAAAATTATTTTTATATAGATAAGTTAATATCTCTATTTCTGAAATTAAATTTCTTAAAATTATGATTAAATATGAATAAAAATGTCAAAATTGAATTTTTTGAAAAAAGACAAAAAGTTATGATTTAATATTATATTCTCTCTCTCTCTTAAATTAGAATTTTTTGAAATTGAAATTAGGGATATCTGGGATCCGGCTTTATCCGACTCTTTTTTACTATTCAGCTAGATAGCCAAATATCATTAGTATCGGACAATATATATATATATATGTATATATCCGGTTGAAATTTTATATTTAAAGTTCGCGTTATTAATACAGAATTCTATTCTTTTTAACTGAACTTCTCGCATAGTTCATCTTTCCTCTTTTCCTTCTCATGTTGGGAAGATAAAGAAAATTATTATTGCTATTTTTCCCTCGCTTTTCTTTCTTTTTTTGTAAAATAGAATAGAAAAATTTTACTGGATATCCGGAAAATATCCGCTATCCAGTCGGATAATTGTCCTACCGGATATTTGACCTGATATTGGATATCCGGTGTCGCATTCTTTCCGAATATCCGATATCCGGCAATTTTATGATCCGGTTTTACATCCCTGGTTAAAATTTATCTCGAATTTTGATTAAATTCTCTAAATTTTGATAATTTTTTTAAATATCTAGAGAAGTAAGATAAGCTATTGTTGCACCGAAGCCTCGAATTTTTGCCGAATCGATATGATATCTGAACACATAAATTCAAAGAGAAACTCTCACTGTCCGCTTTTGGATCGGAATGGTAGCACTAGCATTGTTTTACCAGACACAAGCAATACACTTGCTCTTCTTCTGCAACCGAGGAAGTGTTTCGACCACTGAATTCGTGATATCACACTCCACAGCATGTTCACGTTTTTTCACATTGTGTCATATGTTGTGAAGGACGAGGTTAAACTATTCGGATCTAGAAATTATATGGCGTTATTCGCCCGTTCAAGTGATGGTACCTCCAAATTTTCATACTTCAAAACTCCATGCCTTTCCGCTTCCGTTGCTTTCGCGACCGTCAGCTTCTTTTGCAAACCGATTTCTTGTCATTAGAGCAGCTCGAATACAACTTGCGAGGATAGCGCGATCTATAGTTGCCTGTGTTTCAAGAAGAAAATCCTTGGTACCATCTCAAATATCGGACCACGTTTTTCAGCTCGTTCACCATCATCGAGCATTTTTAAGCTACCAAGGCATTTCGGCTACAGGCTGAGTGTTTCTTCTCGGTCTAGCAGAGGTAAACGTCGCTTTATCGCCAGTCCGTATTTCACATGGTATCAAGAGCTCCGTTCTGGAACGCGGATACGCACTCAACTCGGTGGACTTTTACCTTCGCTCTCGTGCAACACCGCCTCTACCGACTTCTTATAGTTGCCTACCAACTCAGGTAGATCGTAGGCGATAGATACATCAAGCCTGTTGATCGGACAGCCGCGGAAATATGTGCATGTAGAGCTCAACAGCTGGAAATCATAAAGTGGATTTAGTCGGAAGAAATCACGGTAGACATCCGGATCTGGTAGATCGTAGCGTGATATATTCGTGAGAGTGCTGAGGCCTTCGTAGATATGATAGTCCTGTGGATTTTCGATGATCTTATCGCTGATCTCCCGTTTGTTGCCGAAGAACGTCTTGTGATTGTAATACGTCGTCAGGTAACAGTCCACCATTTTAGCGTGATTACGTACTCGTACCTGAAATTGTCAAAGATTAAACGCACCAAATAAATTTTAAAAAATGTTTTAATTCTTTTTATAATAGGTTCTTATTGTTGATTTTTATATTATTTTCTCGAGGAAAGACAACTATTTTTCGCTTTGTAGAATTTTGTAGAATTATAACCAAAATAAGAATCGTAGGATCAAATAAAAGTATTTATAGATGACCGGAATAATTATGAGAGAGTAAAGTCGTGGCACGAATAACACGCTAACAGTACTAGGACTGCTAGGAATGAGAAAGAAAAATCCCGAATCGCAATTGGCTCCGTTAATTTTCTCACAAACATCGCTAATATTTCTTGCCCTGTTTGTATCCTACGATGAAATATATGCATGTAATTAGTAGACATTGGATTCTTATGCAATTTCATATTTATTTAAAAAGCAGATTAGAAAGTAAAAAAACATCAAAATAGAAATTTCTTATTAAAAATGCATTCTAAAAATGCATATTTATTTGTGCATTATTTGTGCATGTCTGCAAAAAATATCCACATAAAAATCCGATGTCTAGTAATTAGCAAATTATTGCTTCCTATTTTGTCCTGACTATTTCCCGTTACATCTTAAATATTATGTATATAATTTTAAGGGCTCGTCTGAGATTCGGAGATTTTTTAGAGATCGAGTAATGAACGCACTTGGATTAGTCGAGTTACATAGTGAAGCAGCCATGTGTAACATTCTAAGAACTAGAAATGAAATCGAGAAGGATCTCGAGTTTGAATCCGGTCAGCTTCGTAGTTTTTAGAATTGATGTGAACTTACGGCGAATCTTCTGGCGCTTGCTATCTTGTGCTCAACTCTCTTGTTTATAGCGGAACGTAGGTCGCGAAGAAATGCGCGTTCTTGAGCGTACAACAACCTGATAGGCGCACCAGCCTCGTAAGGTAATGACCATAACGACGTGGAATACATTATTGGCGGCTCCGCGCTTGACATGAGCGGTGATATATTCCAGATTAAGGCGCCTTGCACCCTCATTAGTTCTTCGGGTTTTACCTGGTCGGCTTTGTTAAGGATAATACGGGTCTGTGTGAAATTAATGTTATATTAGGCGTTTTTCAGGATAATCTTTTTAGGCAAATAATTTTACCTCATTTTTATCATCTCACCTGATATTCTCTTCCTTTTAACTGGTCAAGAATCGCCTCGGTTTCGGGACCGACATCCAACTTGGCGGGATCGTAAACCAAAAATATTATGTCTGCTCGATCGATGAACCACTGACACGCATCGTTAAAGGGAAATAACCGTTGAACTTGCTTTCGAATTTCTAAAATACCCGGAATCTCGACAATGTTCACCTAATAATTTCATATAATTAACATGTAGAATTTTATTATAGTTTTATTATGTAACACGTGTAAATTATGCTTCGAATAACATCAATGATTATGATTGTGAATATTAATTAGAATTTTTCTTTACTTGTTATTGTATTAAAGCCCGTCATCATCAATTTTTAATCATGCATAATTAACATAATAAAATGATTTAAAAATTAATTAGAACTTTAATTTACATCGAATTTTTTAATTTTATTAAGGAATAGAGCACAAAATTTTATTTTGCATAATTTTGATTGAAAATCAAACGTTAAAGTGTTCCAAAAATATATTAAACGTTTTAAATATTTATTCTGATTAAAAATTCCAAATTTTCAATCTTTATCGATCAATATGATTGAATTGCACATTATTTATCAACGTACATTTCCGATATGCAATATCAAAATTGTAGACGGATAAAAATCTTTTACAATCGTTTACCTTTTCTAGCAACTTATTATTAAGTCGCAGGCCTCTGAGACGATCTAGTAGACCCTGTCCGAACTTCTGCAATCCCGAAAAAGTCCAATCGGCGGCCAACTGGGTGCCATCAAGAACCTCCTCCTCCTCTCCGTGCATTATTATGTTGAAGTAGGCTGGTGATGGCTCGGCTCCTGTGTCATTTTTTCCATTTGGCGATTTGCAATGCTCTTCTAAGCACTTTCTCAAACCACCTAAACACTCTCTGTATATTCATGCTCCTAGCATGCCAGCTATCTCTAACTCTTGACTACTTTATCAGCGCAAAGCCAAAGAAAAAATGTAACAAAGAGAGATCACATTCCTCTTTTAGTTAATTACCCACCTGTCCTCAGTGACATTGGCTTGTATTCGATGTCGAGCAGATAATTAATGATGGACGATTTCCCGCCGCTCCACGGTCCCATAAATAGCACTAGTGGCTTGGAGAATATCTCAGGATCTAATAAATTAGAATAAAAAAAATAGGTTATTGCAAATCTTGAGTTAAAAGTTTTAAACATTATTTATTTTGTCTTAATATATATATATTTTTTTTCTTTAATTGAATGAATCAAAAGATAAAAAATACAATTAATTTTAAAATCATAATCGCTTACCTCCGAAATGCCTATTACTCAAGTCTCTGTACTTGTACATAGTCTCTAACGGCTTTATAGCGTTATCATAGAGTCTCTTCAAATCCCTAAGAATAATATCAGCTTCTCTTTGTATAGCTCTCTCTTTTCCCTCATTTTCTTCGTCCAGTTTTAACAATTGGTTAATGTGATCTCTGGGTCGAAGATTTTCCGGAATTTCGATTTCTTGAATCAGATCCTCCTCTGGAGTTGGTTCTTGTTCTTCATCACTGGCAACTGACGACGAGAATTGTATTATAAATTATATTAACTATATTTTTATGTCAACAATATAGAATGTAGCATCTATATAGCAATATAATTATATCATAAGCTTGGCAGATAAAGAGGATGAATTGTTACAAGATCAAATATTAGTTATAAGATCTTTTTTACCTTCTTCCGTAGATTCGCCAGAAGAAGATTCTCCTTCAGCGCCTTCTTCACCGATTTCTCGTTTGTCACGCAATTTTACATTTTCATTTTCTTCTTCGGACTCTGCGTCCTCTTCCTTCGATTTTCCATCTTCCTCTTCAGTCTTCGCGTCTTCCTCTTCTATGGATTTTGTTTCAGTTTCTTCGGATTTCGTTTCTTCTTCCGCAGATGTTGTTGTACCCTCTTCTTCTTCTGTTTCTTCTTCAGCAAATTTTGCCTCTGCTTCTTCTGACTTTGTTTCTTCTTCTACATCTTCGGAATCTGCTGTTTCGGTATCTTCTGCGCTTTCTTTGTCTTTTTCTTCACTCTCAGCTTCAGCGCTTTCATCCTGAGCCTTCTCCTCAATGTCACTTTTCTCATCCTCAGCGCTTACCGTCTGATCTTCAGTCGATTCGGCACCGTCTTCAGTTTTACTCTCAACTTCTTCTTTATCAGATTCTTCTTCAACTTCTTCACTGGCTTCCGCGGATGTTTGTTGAATTTCTGCCTCTTCATTAGACTCAACCTCTCCTTCAGTGGCTTCTTTGGATTCTTCTTGTTCCTCGTCTTCAGCTTGCGATTCATCGGTTTCCTCCTTTTCTTCTTTGGACTTTGCTTCGTCGTCTATTCCCTCTTCCTCGAATTTTTCGTCTTTTACTTTTGTTTCTTCGTCAGATTTTTCTTCGTCGAGCTTATCATCTTCTTCAGTTTTCGCTTCTTCGCTCTCTGTTACTTTTTCGGAGGAGTCGGTTTGTTCTCCCTCGCCTTCAGTTGCCTCAGTGGACGCTCCCTCAGCTTTCTCTGCTTCTTCTGAACAATATTGTTATTTTCTTTTATTATGTCTTTTAAATATTTGCATTTTCAACAAATTCGAAAATTTCAACATTTATTTAAAAATCATCAACGATTATTAATTCTACCTTCTTCAAAGGTGCTAATTTCGACACTTTTATCAGTCGCGTCTTCTTCACTTTGTTCTTCTTCGGCTATTTCCTGTGCTTTTTCTTCGCTAGCATCAGTTTGCTCTTCGATTACTTCCTTACTCTCGTCAGCAGCCGCTTCCGCGCTTTCCTCTACCGATCCCTCCTGATCGTCAGTCTCTTCTTTCGAAACGTCGTCTGCTGCCTCGTCGGCCTAAATAAATAAATTTTTAATAGTAAGAGAGAGAGAGAGAGAGAGAGAGAGAGAGATTTCTTTGAAACATTCTGTACATCGCAAATTAACTTTTATTATATGAATAGATTAAGGCTTACTTCCTCGCTAGTAGGTGATGCTTCTTCATCACCTCCGAGATCGTCCTCTTGGTCGATCTCGGTTCCGACCTCTGCACTGGTCTGCTCCAAAGATCCTTCAAATGAAATATTCTAGAAATCGCTGTGTTCCAGCTGAGTATTCATCATCATCTAGTATTACCTGTGCCGAGATGTTTGAGCGCCTTCTCGATGTACGGTCGACAAAGGTCCTCGGATGGTACCTGCTCGTCTTCGCATTGCACTCCTAAAGCGTTATTTCAATGTTTAACATTTTACTTGAGTTTGAAAAGAAATTTTTGTTTCTTATATTTTGTATATGTTTTGTCAGATAAATGATGAAAAATTAATTACTTAAACAGGACAAAAGATTTATTCTGTAATAAATCTTAATTATTTCTAATATTTATAATAATGATAATCTGTTTATATATATATAAATTATTTTAATCTCTTATCAAAATTTCTGTTGAAGTATTTAAAATTTCTTGTTAGATTTCTCTCTCTCTTTCCAAGTTTTTGTAGGATTCAACATATTTTTATTTTATTCAACAATAAAAAAACATATAATGTAATATAACTTAAAAATTAAATTGAAATAATTTTTTATGCCTTTATTCTTTGTATATTATATTTTTATTACATATTTTTTTTAAGTTTTTGAGTATTAAGTATTTTATATTTTTCAAGCAATTTGAGCATTTCTGCATTATCAGATAATCTATTTTTATCTTCTGTATAAATATTAAATCTATAATGGTAATCATTAATAGCATATTTATAATGGTTTACATAAAAAATTCTCTTTTTTTTTTGTAAAAAAAAATTAGAATTTTAATTTTTCAATCTCTGTACAATTTCTGGACAAAATCCGATCCATCTTATCTGGTTATCCGGTTTTATTGGATAAGATCCGATATCCGATAAATCGTTATCTGTTGTATTTTTCTAAATAAAATCAATTAAAAAATGTTAAAAATAAAACTTGACATCCTTTTGTTTCTAAATATCATGTTATAGCAGTTTCTAAATATCGTGTTATAGCAGAAAAGTCTATGCTGAGCGCTGCATGTGCACTTAATGATGTACGTCGAAAAATTTGGCTTGTTATTTAACGTACTGCAAAAGATTGAAAAACGCTGCATTAGATACACGTATTTTTAATAAAAGATAATTATGATATTTAATACGATCCATCTTGTCTGATTATTTTGCGATATCGAATAACGAAGTTGTCATACCAGAAGTCTTGCATACGTCGCCGAAATATTTACATTGTTCGCGTTTCGCCGAGTGCTCTGGCTAGTAGAAATTTTTGGCTAGGAGAATTCTCAGTGCGCGCGTTAATGGTGGCCGTGCCAAAAGATATCGCGCGCGGTATTAGATAATCTCGTTGCACGGAGAAACACAGCTTCGGTGATGATGAGTTTAACGCCACGCGACCACCAACCCGAAATATCTGACCCAGGTGACGTAAGAACCTGTCAAAGTCATTACGCATACTCTGATGGCCGCGAGCGAGCCATGCGCGTGTTCGCGCCCGGTGACAGGTGTTCAGGAACACCTAGCGCGACTTGTCATCCGACGTGTCTGACGAAAGTTTGCATTGCCGCATTAAATGCACTTTTTTTTAGAAACGGATATACGATTTTACATTATGATTAATTAGCTGGTTCTTGTTAAATAATACGATCGAATTTTAGCAAATATTTTAACGTTGGAGTAATTAAAAATTGATTAAAGTTTGGGAAAATGTAAGAGAATTTCTTTATCAGTGAAAAACACGGAGGTTTTTTTACAAAATTTGACTCATATACGGAGAAAAATGTTTAGTTGAATTAATTGGAATCCTGGATTCTGGAATTCTGGATTATTCATTTTCTCCACCAGAATTCTAGTTAATTCAACCATTTACATTTTTTTTCCATGTATAGATTAGAGATTTACGAAAACAAAGAGAAAAACCGAATGCTAAAAAGAGCATACACTAAATATAAAAGAACTTTGTACCGAAATATATGATATTTTCCAATCATTCTATTTTATTTGCAGCTTTAATAACTCTCAGAGACTTTCTAGGTACTCTATCCATAGAGGTTCCTTTCCTTTTATATAGATAACTTCAATTACTTGAAAGATTTTTACAGACTCTGCTGTAGTTCTTTGTTTATTTTTTACAATGTTATTTATCTTTTAATACATTGAGAAAAATGGTCTAGTTGGATTAAATAATAATTCTGATGGAAAATAGACAAATCAGAATTTTCTGGTTAAATCTATTAGAATTCTAGTTGAGATCATTCTAATTTCGATTGATATAATTATTCTGATAAAAATAATATTTCTAGTAGATTTTATCAGAAATATTGTATCAATCAGAATTCCGATTATTTCAACTAGAATTCTAATAAATTTAACCAGAAAATTCTGATTCGTTCATTTTCAACTAGAAATTTTTTTCAGTGTAGTTTTGAAATTAAATATACTAGAAAAAATAATTGGATCTACATTTTATTTAATATTTATAACAATTAGATTTACACATTCAATGTAATATTTTTTATTACATAATTAGCATAATTTTCTTGTCATTTTATTTGAGTTAAGTCTACATTCTTGGTTAAGATTACATTTGTATCAAATTTTATCAAAGAGCTGTTTGCGAAGAAAAAGCTTTTATCAACTTTTTTTTAATGTATTATAATACCGATACTCGCGATGAGGTCTAATTTATTAAGTACTACCGTTGCAAAAGTGAAGACGGTGGAATTTCCACTCTGAAGAAAATGTCGATATCATCTTCCTAGACGGTACCTGGGACGTGGCCGGTTTCTAAGTTTAGCGGCGGGTAGGCGGCTTTGAGCCGAGCACTCGAAAATATTTATATATTAGGCGGGCGAATCGTATTTTTATCGTCTTCTTAAAAAAAATGATGAGTTGATTGGACTGTGCTCGTTTCTATCGGTCAAACAAAAATTTATTATTTAATAGGACATTGTATTATTCTTATCAATGTATCAATGTTGATCTTGATATCAACGTTGATCAACGGATGTGTAGTAACTTGGATTTTGTGACGAAGAAAAAATATTGAAATTTTCGCGATACCAAATAAATTTCAAACTATTACGATATAAACTTTATAAATATCATAAAATTTATTTACTTATTTTTATTAAAATTGTAATTTCTCGGTTAGATAACCTGACAATTACATTTTAAACAGTTAGTCAACTTGGATTGAATGTATCTTTCATTAGGATATCGAGATATTAGAGTAGATCTAAGATACTTTAGTAAGATTTGATTGTACACTGAAGATTTGGCTCGAGGAGGCGCCAAAACGTTTGTTTATTTGTCAATTATATTATTATACGTGACTAAATATATATTATTATAATTGCGCCTAATTAACTACGCCTGATTCTCATTTACTTATTATACTTCATATTTTTAAAAATGATGAAACTAATTCGATAAAATAAAGACTATAAAAATGGTATCGGCAAAGTTGCAAAAGGCTCTTGACAATTTTATTTGATAGTTGCTTGAGCTACCACCTTGGATGCCACCAGTCGAGAATGTTAGGAATTGTTGTAATTTACGAGTTCATGTGATTGTACGTAAACACGAGAAGTTTTGTGGGATATCTTTACGTGTCTCACTATATCTCGTTGTTATATCACATACTGCAATTTTTGGCACAGGTCGTAGCTTCGCTAAAAAACGAAATCATTTCCTACTTTTAATCGAAGTCCTTTTATTAGCTTTTTTCATTGGATTGTCAAGTCATTTTCATGCTTTAATTGCGTTTATATAGTCCGGAAAATAATTCGGCGCAGTTCGATAGACTACAAATATGGTATATATACAAGTACATACATAATATATTTAGTAATTCAAGATTGAATTATTTAAGCATTAAAGATCCAGCTTCGACCGTTATAGGCATTTTAATATTGATTGTGTTCATTTTCATACATTGTTATGTGAAAAACAATACAAATCTTTTTTTTCTTTTATGTGTATATTCTGATTGAATAATATAACGAGATCTCAATACACTTTGATTTAATGTTTCATCGCGATTTGAATGCAGAAAGATAAATATGAGTGATTTCCTACCATGTTTTAGGACTTAAGACTGAATCTTCCGAATTCATCTTTTAAGATCTTATCCATTTTTTAAATCGTGAACTATTCTTTACGACTCCATTCTAAGTTATTATCGAACAGTACGCTATTATCCCATCATTTTCCCAATTGCAAAATTTTCGACTCTTGTCGGTTTCCAGAATAATACGGTAATACGAGCGAATTTTGAGTTACGAGAGATAGGAGAAGATGCACGCAGGCAGCTGTCGTTTGGCAAGCGCAGCTGCGCCGGATAAATATAGAATCCTGAATTTTGTTCCATAGTCTACGATATGTATAGCTTTTTGTCGTATTTAATCGTAAGAAATTTTTGCAATATATAAATTGTTAAAATCTGATACAAATCTAAAGCTTAATGTGGATACTGCTTTTTTAAAATATAATCTTCAAAATATTGTCTCATGAAAGTTCATTTATAATCGTTTAATGAACTATGTGACACTGTGAAAAACAAGCATTTGGTTTGTCATAAATATCGATTTAAATAAATTTATTTTGCATTTATGCGATTTGTTATTTAAGTTATAAAAGAATTAAACATGGAGTTTTATGATAGTCCGAACACATAATTAAAACAATTCATTTCTGGAAACTTTAGGATGATGCTGACACAGATTTATGCTGTTTCTTATGTAATTATCGTGCGGGTTGATGACAGCCAACTCTCATCGATTCCTAAAATAACAAATCCTTGAATCGACGACTTTTATTTGAACTTTGAGACGATACGTTAGGTGCTTCTTCAGCCATCAACAATTTCGTACATTCAATTATTGTAAAAAAGTGAAATATTTTTATTCCAAAACATGATATTTGAAATATATTTAATATTTAATTATTAGTTCTAAAGGCATCACTTATTTTATTAATTGCCAATAGAAAATTATGACGAATATTTTTCAAACCTATCGTATTTATTTAAATTATATGATAAAAAGAATTATATGATCAAAATTGATTAAATGTAGGGGATAGATAGATATAGATATAATCTTATTTTCGATAAAAATTTAAAAAATATTGGATTGATTAGAATCAACCAGATTTTTAATAGATTCTGTGAGGTATATTAAATTATGGCTGAATCATCAGTACATATAGGTATAGAAACAAGAAAGCTATAAGGGACTGATGACGCGCACCGGATATCTTTACGTAACATTGACCTTCGTCAGTCAATCGTCATAGTTTCGTCAACATTTCAATTTCATTGTCGTCGACGATCGATGTCAATTGCACGTTTCGAAGAAGCTATCTTTCCCACATTTTTCTTTGCTACCGCAACTCCGGTCACATAATTTAGATCTTGGAATCAGTCTACCAGCTTAAGATTGGCTTGAACATTCAAATTGTAACAATCTAGTTACAGCACAATCAAGAAGATATCTTAATATTTGATATCGATGACAAGATTAATAAAGAAATGTTCATACGAGTTTATCGCGAAGAAATTTTGTAGCAAGTTTCAAAATACAACACACTTAGTGACAAATAAGCTGGAAACTTTGAATCTATTGGTTAGGACAGGATCAACCGATCGATTTAAATCGAGCGAAGTCACTGACCGCACGAGAATAAATTCATGTTCGCGGGATCCAACTCAAGGTACGATCCAATCTTCAAGATGCTAAGGTTTATCCGCGTGGGGTTTCTGACGGTTTTACTGACCTCGTAAGACAACGGCTAGAAAGCTCAGGAGGAGGCCCACGACGAGCGCGGGTCTCATCCGCGCACCCGTCATCTCGTCACACTAGACACTACGCGATCAGCCGGGGCCAGGGTTGGCACACAGCTCGTCCTCTCTTACTTCTCGATCCCGTCGTCGCCCTCAACTCCAACTAGCTCGCGAGGCACTGGCATTGTCACTACCGTCAAACCGCGAAAGACGCCCCTCTCTCTTCTTCTTCGTCTTCTTCTTCATCATCATCATCTTCTTCTTCTTCTTCTTCTTCTTCTTCTTCTTCTTCTTCTTCCTCTTCTTCTTCTTATCTCACGGATGCAATGGACGTAGCGACAGTGATGGATGTCACTTCTCTCTTCCTTTTCTCTACCGTCCCACTTTTCCACGGGCCCACAAGCCTTTGAATTTCGTGGTCATCGGTCGGACGACGGAAAAACTTCCAACGGATGCGGAAGCGCTTACTCGCGCACACGCACATCGTATTATATCGAGTGTGGCCAAAATCATTGAGCACTGTGGCCAGAGTCAGCCGCGATCGACAGCTGTGAGAGTTGTCTGTTGACTTTACGAATACACTCGTTTTGACGTTATTTAACAATTTGGTTTTGGACACCGGATATATTAGCAACAATACACCAATTTAATATTGTTCCTAATCTTGACTTAGTTATGACGTGTTGAATAACGTGTAGCGTTATTGGAAAAAGGAGAGAAAGCTCTCTTTCGATGACGAGCAGTGGTTAGCTCTTATTTTTGCGGACACACACGTAGATCAAGGTCATTTATTCCACGCTATTGTACGAAATTCGCGTAGTAAATTCGAAATAGTTGTTTTAGGATGAAAGTTCGTAACTTTCCCTAATTTTAGGATTCACTGACCAGTGCCGTCGAATTAATTATTTCAGACTTGTACAAAGACATATTTTTCCTTGTAGTTTATATCTTGATAAAAGTTTTATTTTATTACACACACAACAAGTAAAGATTTTTCGTTTTGTCAGTATATACAGAGTATCATAGTGCTTTCTTAGTCAATTCTCGAATATTTGTTAGTATGAATTAATGTTAATTGAAAATGAATATTAAATATCTTTTACTATTTTACTTCAAATTTCAATTACCGTTATCTTTTTGATATTTAATCGTCTAAATTTATTAATTATAGATTAAAATTTTTGAGGATGATTCTAAGGACAATCTGATCCTCTAGTACTCCTCTTTGTACTCTTGATAATTTTGTAACTAACAATAACTTTTTGAATATTATTAATACTGCAAATACATATATACGTATATATATTTGGCATAATATCTTTCTTCTGGAACTAATGTCGCGCGGTTAGAAATTTCGAACTATATCATGGCGCATTTAAAAATATCTCTCGACATTTTCCTAGCTCATCGGAAAGATTTATCTGGACCAGGTAGCGGCGTAAATCGTTGACCGCTGATGATCATCTCGTTACTGCGAGTCGTGATGGAGTCGCACCGAACGTCATTTCCGGAAACTTCACAGTTTTTATTATGACTTATTCTACCCATTTTTTCATTTACGAAAACATCTATTTTCCATTATCTCTTTTCCACCCATTTGCAGTATTGTCGGCCCAGCTGAGAGATTAAAGTTGCATCCATGTTATCGTGCATTTAGCACCAAATGTAGTAATGTAATGAAAAGATAAAATGCAAAATTTGACCATAAAATTTTAGGTACGAATGTAGAATTCTAACATTTGATTGAAATTTCTGGATTTTAATTTCCAAATTTTATCTTTAGGATTAAAATCTGGATTTTAGTTTTTATTGTGCTTTCGCGTTTTCAACATTTCGAGAGTATTAAGTTACTATTCGAAATTTTATCGGGAATCAATAACTTTTTTGCTTGAAATTTTGTATTTTATACGATATGATACTATATGACATGAATATTTTGCTGCTATTTTTTATCAGCTTTTTTTATAAATCAATTTCTGACTTTTGGATGGTGATTAAAAGCTATTAAATTGATTTTCAGTATCTAAAATATCTAATGACTGATTTCATTGATTAAGAGTGACATTAAATATCAGTATCGTCATTCTTTTTGAATAAAACTTATAATTAAATTCTCGAACTATAATGCATGATAAGTGCTGAGACGGCTAATAAGTTTCCAATATTTCACGTATATTCTTTAATTAATCAATTATGAGCATAAGGAGGAGAATTTTGCTGCTTCATTGGTGAAGATAACTAACCGAAGCGTAACACAACCAGAGAGATGAGATTCGCCGAAATACACGCGCACAGACGCAAAGGAACGTCAGAACCGCAGGCGCCTTTATATTTAGAAGCCCGGGTCGCGTCCGTATAAGGTGGCCTGCCGTGCAAAAGTCCTCTCTTTCTCTTCTCCTCCCTTTTACTTCATTTTTCTCTTCTTTTGCTGAAACTCGCTGAAACTCGCGGAAACCCATATATTTAATTAATTAGATTTGTAGTTGAAAGAAATGCTTAATTACCTTTTGAACTTTTTTATTCCAGTAAAGAAAATATCTTGCACGATGTGTGTATATATATATATATGTATGTGTGACATACATATAATATATGAGTGCATGTGTGGATATTATTTATATATTTTATTCTGTTATATATATGTATATATATATATATATAAAAAGCTTATATTTGCAAATTAATCGATATCTTGTGCTATTTGCAGTTAGATCTCTAAAATTGTTTAATTTTCTATGATATTTAATGACTTTCGCAAATATGCTGCCATTAAAATAATTTATAAACTAAATTTGCATTTTTCAAAGTTTAACGCAAGTATTACGAGATTATGGCCGGCTATATCCATAGTCGATTCTTATGTATTCAAGATTGTCTTAAATACAGTCTTAAAATGTTATAAACCAATCACAGAACCGTATTAGCATTTTAAGACGATTTTAAAATAAGAACCGACTATGAATACTAGCCTATTAGTACAAAGTTTTACAGCATTTTTTGGGAGATAACGAGAGATATGTTTAAATGAACCATTTGGCGATCTATAATAAACTCGTTAATTGTATGTGGTCAAAATATATATATATATATATATATACATAGATTTTCAGCCAGGCATGTTCCACGTCATTATAATTTAAGATTTGGACGTGTTCCTAAAGGCGCACGGTGGATCGCTCTTTTCTGTAAAAGATCGCAAGGATTGCGATCATTTGCTTACGCCTATGTTTAGATTGAACCTTGCGCGTTCGCCGTCAAGCTTATAGCTTCATTCTACCACTGTGATCAAAAAGTGTCGGGATTGGTTTAATTAAACTGCACGCTTCGAATATATCGAAAGAATGACTACTGCGAAGCAAGGTCAATCCCATACACTCGCCCCTTTTTCAAAATTACATTTAACATTTTTAAATTCTGGATCTCTTATCTAGAATTTTGAATAAAAACACTTGGAAAATCTGCGAATTCTCAAAAATTTTTTTTACGAGAATAAACATTCTGTAGTATATAAGTTGTAATTCTCTTAGTGTCTCTTGTGTGTATTGAGTTCTTCTGATACAGTTTTTTTACCGAGTAACCTTAAATAAATATCTTTTAACAAAAGGAATAGATAATGTTAGACGATCATTATGTATTAGGCGCGTAAAATAGAGGAACACAAAAGAAAGAAGGAACGGAAGGCGCAAGAAAAATTGGAGCGCGAGAGACAAGAAAGATTGCAGAAAGCGCGAGAGGCAGCCAAAGCTCGTGAGGAAAATACACGAACTTCTCAAACGGATGCGGGCAATACATCCCCCGGCGCAGGAGATTTCTATCAATTTCTTAAAGATCCTGACGTACGTCAAGCCTTCGAGGTAAGTCGCGAGAAAAAATCATAGTCTTTTAATAAGTTAACAATATCAGTCATGTGCTCTTTTTTGGAAAATATAATGAATTACACATGCTGCTGCATAGAAAAATATGGAATAACGCAAAAATATTTCTCAATATTAAAACTACACACACACACACACACAC